TATTATGTTTTTATATATTAAAATGTTGTATTACATATTTTATTATATATTACATGTACTATAATACATATTATATATTTTGTTATCTATGAATTTATAATATATATAAATTTTATACACATGGACGCATGTAGATCATTTTTGCCAGTTCCTTCATTTTACAGACCAGGAAACTGAGATCTAGACTGGAGGAAAGGAATTGACTTACCCACGGTCACTCAGTGCTGGAGAAATATGTAAAATACTTAAACTCCCATCTCTTGAACTCTCAGTCCATAAATTATTACCGGTTCCATTTAGACTCTCACAATTATGGGCCACATTTTAACACCTCTGTTTCCTCCCTGCCCTGCCAAACGCACAAATAATATTTAAATAAGTAAAGGCAGTTCTGGTCCACAGCCACAACCGAGGTGGTTGTAACTCGAGCCTGCACCAGGTCGCAGCGCTCATCCATATCGTTCCATGAATTTACAGATATGTCACAGCCCCTGGCGCAGCACAGGTTTTCAGCAAGTGCTAAGGAATGATGACGGTGAAAATAATAGGCCAAAGAGGAATGCGAGCTGTTTCCAGGCCTTCTGCAGCGCCTCCTTGATTGCCTCTCTAGAGAGCATTCTCCGTTCTGGAAGCTCCAGTGTGCACTGCGGGCCCCAGCAGGGAGGGTTGGGCTGAAGCGGCTCACTTCTGGAGCCTCGGGACCACACATCCTCCTCCTGCCAGATCTCGTGAAGGAGAGGCAGGACGGCTGCCTTCTAATGAAAGGGGCTCTTCCCTCAGCATCAGTCCCAATATTACTGCTTATGATACCTCATTCCTTTTATTCTTATCAACAGCATGCAGAGGCCTTACTTAGAACAACTAAATTCAGTATATTTAAGTATTCGGTGTATTTAAGTAATTCCTCATTCCGACTTCAAATTCTATCTGGGAATTTTCTCATTAAAGATGCTAGAATTTAAAAGGTTCCTTAATAACGTGACTGTAGGAGTAAAAGATGGAATTAATCATTCACTCATCAACTCAATAAGGAATATTGAGTCCTTATTGCATGCCCAGCATTGGTCAAGTTGCAGGGAAATAAATAATGAATTCAGGCAGGTGTCCAAGCTTTCTGGAGCTCACAAAGTCAGGGTCCCAGCCTACAAAGAGTTCCTGCGACAGCCTCCCTGAAAACCTCCTTTTAGGGCCTCAGACGAAGTAGAGAAGGCTGTTCACACCCACACGAAGCACTCGTTCAATTTTCAAATGTTTTTTGAAGAGTATTCAGTCTCTATATTTTAGAAAGGTCTTCAGTCTCTCTATAGCTTCTACTTCCTAATCACAGATCTGTTCTCAAATATACACAGAAAAAGTGTGTTTTTTTTCCCATTGAAGTTATATAATTTCATCCTTGAATTACATAAAGGTGGCTATTTGAGCACCCACCACAGCTTTCATAGACTTCAATATTACCTTTAAAATAATTTGCTGGCTGACTTCTTCCAACATTCTCCAGTTTATTAAATCACTGAATCCAGTATTCTAGGTATGATCAGATTAGAATTGTGTAGTGGGACTATAACCTCCTTTGATCTAAACATTATATTTCTATTAAATGGATCCAAAATTAGATTAGCTGTTTTGGCAGACACTTTATATTATTAAAACATATAACAAATGCAGTCTGTGCCATCCATAACTTCTCTTTCCTTCTTCGTTCAACTGAAAATATTTGAACCAGGCCTTTTCTATCCTATACTTACGCATTTATTTAATCCTCAGCACAAGTTGTTACAGTTATCTCTACCAATACCATCCTACAGATTTCAGCAGTGCATTCCAGGTATAGAAGTAGCCCTTTGAGTCCTGTGTTTGCCATTCACCAAGTTTGTGCCATTCTCATATTGGGTGAGTTTGCTGGCAGTTCCTATATCCAAATTAGCAAATTAGATGCTGATCCCAACAGTTCCAAGTAGTTTCTAGGAGCCCTTGATCTGTCAACCAGCTTCTTTTGCATGGACATTCTGCCTCCTACAAACACACTTTATCAAATGCCTTGCTGAAATCCAAATGCATTGTGGCTACATCTCTCTAATCTAGCTAGTTTGGTAATTTGGGTGTCAGAAAGTCAGGTAGACATGGTTTTTAATTTTTATTATGAGTTCTGTGACTTCTTGGAGTTTCTTTTTCACCTATAATATAGGAATAATTATATCTGCCCAAAGGGTGATTGTAAGAAAGAAAGATAATATATATAACATGCCTAGGGCATGGTAGCATTCAATAAATTGTGCCAGTTGTTATTAACTCTTAACAGAAGAAAGCAGTTTAGTCTGGAATAATATTTTCAGCAGTCCTTTACACTTAAAGGTCATAGCTCCTCATGGTCTATACTCACAATCAATGTGTTGACCAATCCATTAAAAATATTAGTGAAGATCAACATTAAGCTATGTTAACTTATAAAAATTTTTTCTTTATTTTTCTCTCCCTTCCTCTCTCCCACTCTTCTGCTCTCCCATTCTTTTTTTCTCCTCTCTCTCTCTCTCTCTCTCTCTCTCCTCTCTCTCTCTCTCATTTTTTTGAGGGGAGGAGCAGATTAGGGAATATTTGCCTATACTAACTCTTTTCTACTCTCATTTTTCACAGTTCCTCAAAACCTTCAGTGATTTCCTCTGTAAATTCTCATAGCAGCAGGGCTGAAATTTGCTTAGAAGTGATCTCTTTCTCTTTACTGACCTGTTATAGGGTTTTCTTTCCTCTTAGCCACATTTCTTAAACCCTTTTCTGCCTGAAGATCATGATTTAACCAAAAAAGTTTAAATCAGAGTTAAGCTGGAGTAATGCTAACCCCATCTCTCATTCATATGACTCCTAACTTCTGAGAAACGAATGAGACCCAATAACTATCTAGTTCTACCTTGTTTGTGGATAAGAGTGTCCTTGGGTCTTCATGACCAGGAGTGACCCAGGGCCACACCAGATATCTTGCCCCCTTTGGACCAATCTGCCCACAAGCCAAATTTATTCACTTGTGTCCTTTATTGGTTAGTCTGGAAAAGATGAGACACCTGTCATATCCTTCTGAGTATAACGTCAAATCTTAAATAGCTAAAGTATTTGGTGGTTTAGGTTTTCCACAGTTCTTTGAATTGAGCTTTTGAGTAGTGAGACTAGAACTACTGGTTCCCTGACATCCACCAGGCTGAACGGGTAGACCTGTGCACAGAAGTCTTTCAGCTCAGTCAAATTTAACAATACTTATTTCTATTTGAACACACACTTACTGAGTGCCTATTATTGCGCCAAGCTCTGTTTTAGGACTCTGATGAACAGAACAGACAACATCCCAGCTCTTAGGATATTTATGGTCTGGTAAGGAAGACATATATTACACTAATAGTTATGCAAGTAGTTGTATATAAAGTAAATGAAATTATATCTAAATTTCAATAAATTAAATGAAAGAAAAGAGGAGAGTACTATGAGAAGAAGTAACCAGGGGCATTTTGAGATTTGTGGAGTTAGGGCAAGTTTTCCTAAAGAATTTAAATTTAAGGCTATGCCTGAAATTTGAGAAGTTACCCAGCTCTCTCTCCTCCCCCCTAAAAAAAAAAATTAGGAGAAAGGCAGTTCAGGCAGAGAAAATAAAATATACAAAGGCTTCAATGTGAGAATGGGCAGAAAGGCCATGTGGGAACTCAGAGAGCAATAGAGAAAGGCTGAGAGGAGAGACTGCAGAGATAGGCAGGGTGAGATAGCACAGAGCAGAAGAAATATAGCTAAGGTATTCAGAATGTATAATACAGTCCTCCACGTAGCACTGGTGTCCTATAGGGCCAGATTTAGGGGCCAGGATAAAGTCATACACCCATAAGTGGTTCACTACTACAATTCAGATTCAGTCTTTTAAAATGATGATTAAATAATGCTGAGGCTGTTCTGTTATATATCTGGATTGCAGACTCCATGCTCACATCTGAATTATTCATTGTTCTGTCCTCTGTACTCAAATGCCTGATATAGAGTAGATCTTTAATAAGAGTTTATTGAATAAATGAAAGTTTTCTTGAAGCTAATGAAGAAAACACCATGTATTTCTTTATAATACCTTAAAAAGGTATCTTAAACTTACCCACAAAGTTCAGGAATTATATGAAAGTCTGAAGTCCCAAAAGAACAGAAACTACAATGACTGAGACTTTCCCAAAATAGAGTTTACAGAGTAAATCTTCTGCATTTGTATAGAAGGATATGTCTTTAAAAAAAAATAGTTATTCGTATAGGTGTAATGGCTAGAAGGTTGGGAATAATTTATGATATGTAACCAATTTTGTTAATGTCTTTATAGGGAAGAAATTTTTATATTGTGAGCCACATAAGAGAATTAAGGAAGTACTGGAAGAAGAACTTTATATTAAGAGAGATGAATGCCACGTTAAAAATCCACCTGCAGGTAATCTCAATGACAAATGAACTATATTTGTGAATGAATATGAAATTGCCTATTTGATGGCAGAGAGATTATTTATTACAAAACTGTGACTACCAAAAGAAAAATGGGTCTTTTGGGAAATTCTTGGGTGAATTTTATAATTATTTTGCCTATGCCTAAATAAACTCTTATATTTAAGAAAAAAATGAGCTAGGTATCAGTATCTATATTGCTGTCCTACATTTTTGGTGGGGTTATTTTATTTAACGATAAGCAGAATTTGTTCCAAGTGCCTGTAAAGCACAATAACATGTTAAATCTTTATCAATATAGGTATGACCAATAATAGTGGTTCCCAAAGTTTAGATGTTATCAGAATTACCTGGGAGCCTGTTAAAAGTAGATTGCTGGGCCCCATCCCTAGAGTAGTAACTGGCTTAGTAGCTCTGGAGTCAGGGTTCAAGAATTTGCATTTCTACCAAGTTTCCAGATGATGTCGATGCTACTGGTCCAGGAACACCACTTTGCAAATCACTGACCCAGAACAATAAGTCATTTAAATAGGTCAACTCATCTAAGGATTTTATTGTATATACACATGGTATATGAGTCATACAGTCTGGGCATTGATGGCTCTCATTGATGGTTCATTGAAAAAAGGATATACTCTAGAAACTCCACAATCCCTTGCAGATGTTATTTTGAAATTGCACAAGACCTTCATTTTCACAGTTCTTTCTCGATGATTACTAGGTTCATACTTCATGCTCTTCAAATCATCAGGTTTTTATTGAAACCCTCATGGGTACCAGATGAAATAAAAGAACTGTGAGACATGACTCCAATGTTCAGAGAACTTGACATTTTCTTAGGATTATTGAACATCTGGCAGGTAAGGCCCACATTCTCTAAGGATTCCCAAGAGCAGAGGCTGTGGGCCCAGAGTGCATCATTTCAGATTCCATGACATGTTTTCCCTCTTTATATTTCAAAATCAACCATAAAGACACCTTTTAGGCCTTCTGTATCACTCATTCTTACAAAAGGAGAGAGCAGCAAAATGGCCAATTTTGTTCCTATGATATCTTGAAGGGAAGTTTAAAGTCTAGTTTGAACTCTATGAATGGATGCAGAACGACTACTAAATTGTTTTTCTGAAACCCAGCCTACATGTCCCATTTCCCTGCTGGTTAAAGATAGATATATTTTTTAAGTATATACTATTATATTTTGGGCTTACTTTCATTTATACATTTATAAATGTGTAAGTCATATACTAGTTGCATGTTGTATTGTTCTTTTGGGATATATTCGATTATAAGACAGTCTAAATGATTAGGAAATATCATTTGGTTTATAAAAATTTATTTTTCTAAGTAATCTTTTAAAATACTTTCACATAAAAGAAGAATGCTTGGGCTGCATTTTTATAACATCCGCTAGAGGTTACACAGAGGTGCTATTTTAGGCTAGAAAAATCTTTCAAAGCTGAGAATAATGGTTTCTGTAAAGGTAAGTTTTAAAAGGGCTGTACTTATGGAAAACAGAAACTGCTATTTTTTTCTTATTTTTTTAAATGACTGGAAGGCGCATGTTCATGTTCACAAGAGGGAACTAGTGGCTAGAAAGGGTGCCATGCCCTTCCAGCTTAATCTCAGAGTGTTGGCAGTTCTGGGCCAGCCACTGGACCTGCTGGTGCAGGGTTTCAGGAACATGCTCCTTTAAATATATGATGAAAGCTATGGCTTCTCTTCCTAGAAAACATGGCTTGTCATGTACACCCAGAATTCTGCATAAAACTTGTAGGGACTTGTACTTGACCCATCGTCTCCACTTCTTAATGTTTGCTCTTTTACTCATTCCAGTTAGACTGTTCTTTTCCAGTTTGCAAATGACTTTCCTCTTGAAGGACAAATCCAATGACCTTGACGGTCAAATACAATCCACAGACTCATCAAATTCATCTTCTCTGTAGCATCTGTCACAACAGTTTACTCCTTCCTTTTAAAAATACTTTCTCTGGATGTGGTTTCATAGTGTAGCAATTAGCACATCTGCTTTACACGCAGAAGGTCCTGGGTTTGTGCCCCAGTGGAGCCACATTTCAGGGTCTACGGCCATGCCATCCTTAACAAGCTCAATGTCTGATCTTGGAAGCTAAGCAGGATCCGGCCTGGTTAGTACTTGGATGGGAGACCACCTAGGAAGACCAGGTGCTGTAAGTATAAATAACAATAAAAATAAATAAATAAAAAATAAAAATACTTTCTTAAATTAGCCTTCAGGTCCCCATGCTCCAATCTCCAGGTTTTGCTCACACCACTCATTCTTATCTTTGCCAACTGTCCTTCCTCCTAGCCTCTAAACTTTGGAGAAGTCAGACACAAGCCCTTTTCCCTATGTATACTCACTCTCTGGGTGATTACTCCCTATTGAGCTAATGACTTCAAAATTAGTATCCTAGCCTCTGATTTTCTCCTGAAATCCCAAAAGCCTACTTAACTTTCCACTTGGATGTCTAATAGGCCTCTAAAACTTAACATGTCTAGAATAAGACTCTTATTCTATGTCTCAGCTTTTAAAATCCTGCTCTTCAACAGGTTTGCTCCATCTCAACAATGGGTACCACCATTCACTCAGTTGATTAAACCAAACACCCAGAAGTCAAATATTTTAACTTCATATCCAGTCCATCAGCTAATCCTGTTGAATCTACATTTGAAATATATCCTTAATCTCCCCAACTGCAACTTTGTCCAAGCCTCCATCATCTCTTGCAGGCTCAGCAGTAACATCCTATATCAGCTTCTACTGTTGTCCCCAAGTATAAATAACATACTGTGCTAATTGCTACACTATGAACACATCACCTCTACACATCACCTCTATGCTCAACACTCTCCAATGCCTTCTTATTATTCTTTGTCTACATTTTAATCTCCCTGTATAGCCAGCTCATCCCTCTGAACTCATCTCCTATTCTTTCCCACTCCACTTCAGCCACCTAGGCTTACTTGGTGATATTCTGGAACATACCAAAACCATTTCCACCTCAGGACCTTGACACTTCACAAACAAATGTCTTCCTCCCTCTTCATTCAAATATCAGTTTAAATGTCACCTTCTCAGAGGTAACCTCTCCACGAGGTCAAAATAGAAACTACCCACCTTCCCAAGTTACTCTCTAATCCTTTGTACTGCTTTCTTTTTTCTCCTTTTTCTATCACTCCCTGAAATTATATATTTATTTGTATACTTCTTTATTAACTATCCTTCCCCCTAGAACATAAGCTACCTGATGACAGGGGCTTTATCTTGCTTACCGCAAGTCCTCATAAAAGCCATGTGATATGGGTATTATGATTACCATTTTATGAGTGGGTAAACTGAGATTTTGAGAGGTTTTTACTGTCCAAGATTATATATTAAGTAAGTGGCAAAACTGGATTCCAAATTCAGTTCTGACCCCAAATGCCATTGACTTTCTACTCACTATAGTGTCTCTGGTGTCATATTATGGCTAAATCCAGTGGATACTGTTCCACCCTTGGCTTGAGATTGCTGCAACATATGACATAGTTGATGGCTCGCTCTTTAAACCTTACTTCTTCCTCAAATTTCTTGATATTAAAATAAAATGACCTCATTCTTCTCTTACTTTCTGGATATACATATATATATGTGTGTATGTATATATGTATGTATATATATATACACACACACATATACATACACACACACATATATGTATACATACTTGAATTTGTGACTTTGTGATTTTGTACATACTATTTCTTAGATATACCCAAGTCTATCTAAATTCTGAGGACCCAAGATGTATGCATGTATCCAAGCATATTTGTGTAGCTATGTATGTATTGGTTGGGTTAGTTTGAATTTTTCAACAATCCAATTGCTTTTACAATAATATGGTTGGTGAAGGTGAGATTCCAAAAAATGTCCAGACTGAACTTTCTTTCAACCATTGATAAAGCACCAAAACATGACCATATAGCAAAGTATGTGGGTGAATGTCCTGAAGAACTTATACATTCTATTACGAGGGGGATCCTGAAGTTAGGCGACTTAATTATAGTATGTTTTATTTGTGACTGAGCTAAGGATGAGAATTATGGAAGTTTCCAGAAGCAATGGACTCAAATTATTTCTATGCTGCTTTTCCTTTTCCTTTGGTTGAATGAAACTGGTAAAAGATCAAAAGTTTCTTCTCTTTGGATTGAATAAAATTGGTCAAAAATGAAAAGATTCAGAAGTTAGGTTTATGGACATTTAATAGAGTGAATATAACATTTCTTTTGGAATATTATTGTTTGGGTAATAACAGGGGACTGAAGAAAAAGAACTGTTCAGTCTTCTGGACCCTCAGCTGAAGGAGCTATCCCATCTGTTCTTGTGGTTGTATTGTAACAACAGTTAACGAGAGGTGGAGACACTGAAATGGCCACGTTGCCCTAGATGGTTATTACTGTGTATCCCATACTTGGGTCTAAGGAATGGCATCGGTGACCACAGAAAAAAAACGGGCTGCCAGGCCTCTAAAGCAGGCTCCTGATGCAGAGGCATGTGGGCTCAGAAAGAAGCACTGAATGCTGGGGTGAGGAGTGCAGTGGGTGAATGGTGTCTGTATCATGATGACAGTGATAATGGTAATAATAATTATTATTATAATAGCTATCATTGAAGTGTGTCTTCTAGACATGAGAGTTTTTACAAAGTATCTCTCTTAATTCCTGCAACCATTCTGTGCCCTTATTCCCACTTTGCAGATCTGGAAGCTGAGGTTCAGGAAGGTACAGTGACTTGCCCATTGTCACAGTGAAATAGCTGATATTTGAATACAGGCCTGTCAGAAGCTGATGTTTCTGCTCTTCACCATTGAGTTATACTGGCTCTCTTTAAAATATAGGAAATGATTTAAAGTTGTAGTGGTAGCAAATAGTACTCTCTTTATTAAAAAAAAAAAAAGTTGACATCGACACAATTTTCTCCAGTTTCAGCCTCAGTTTAGTTCCACATCTGAGGCAGAACAGAGGTTTCAAAGGTATTACACGTTCCTGTCACATAAGAACATAGGCCAAGGTCTACACGAAAGGTTCTCATTACCCTGAAAAAAGGAAATGCAATTTTCTCATCTGATTTTCTGTCAAATGAAAATGGAATTTGGGGCAACTTATAGAACTTTCTGGATAAGGAAAAAATTAACAAACATCATCATTCACATGTTCTTAATGATTCCCAAAAGATTTTCTCTTCCTTACAACTTTTTAAAAAGTAGAGGTAAGATTGTGAGACACGCATTATAGAACAATAACATTGATTTTTACCATTTATCTTTAAACTATTTCTACATTTCTAAGAACCTCTATAAAGGACTTTGTAAAAATAAATTAAAGTTCTAATTTAATGCTTTCAAATTGCAAAGAGCTTTTGTATTTTTCTGGCTAAAACCTGCAGAGGTTGAGGAGTCATGAAAAATCTGATTAGTGAAGTTTACTAGTTTTCTTTTACACAACATATCCTTTCTCCATGAATTTCAGTAGTGTCCTGCCAAATCCATTAATTTGTATCTACATGTGCCTTAATGTAATTTTGAGTCTGGCTTATTAATTATGTTTAGTACTAACTCAGAAAATATAAAATGTTGCTCAGTGAGTGTGGATATGTTTGTTACTCATAATTCTGTCAAAAAAAATGTTTTATGTACCTACAATATGCAAGGAATTTACTAGACAGCAAAGGCATGTCAAGATAATTACAGAGCCTAGAAGTCACCAAAGAAATTTACATTACTTAAATTTTTCTTCCTCTGGTTAAATCTCTACCTTGTTAACACAAAGGATATGGCTCTAAACTGGCTTTTAAGCTCTGATGTTCATTATTCACAGTCCCGAGACAGCCAAAGGGAACAAAAATATTTTTATAGGGTGAGCTGACCTTCCCTGAAAGACCAGGCCAGGTCTCACTGACTAAACTTTCCAGCATAAAGGCATAGTGTAGTAACTTTAAAATTCAGGATAAAAGCACACCTAAAAAAGTTTATGAGTAGAAGGGGTTGGGGCCATGAGAAAAGAAGAAAGAAGAATCTCTAGAAGATTCTGAGATTCAAGAAAGGATTTAATTCCTGCTCTTCTGCTTGCTGCTTTTTCCTTTTCAGGGTAAGTGTGCCAACACCGAAGTCACTCGGGCCCTGCTTCCCCCTTTGTCTTCCTTCCTCCTCTAGGCGTGTACAGAGCAGAGGGAGTTGGATTTCTCTTTAAAGAAGCATCTGCTTCAAAGGGATTTGTGCTTTTTTTCAGACCCTTTTCTCTGATCATATCACCTTTCGTAACTTCTTCGTTCAAACATCATATCGGATCAAAGTAGTGCTATTTTTTTCCAGCAGTCTCTATCTCTGAGAAGAGTAAATATTTATGCATCACTATATTTTGCTTTGACTTTTTTTTTCATGCATTTCTGAGCATCTTCATTTACATTTCAGGTATTTTCCCAGTAAGTTGTAAACTTCCAGCTATACTTGTGATTGCATCTGAAAGAGCACAACTAAATTAGACCAGTACAATTCTTTTATCTGATTTGATATCGTTTTACTACATAGTTCTGCCTCCTGATTTTAAACTGTTTTCCACTTACCAGAACTTGCCACAATTCAGAACAAATCTAAACCCATTTTCTTGGTCTCTTACAGGGTGTGGTGCACAGGGGATATTTAATAAACGTTTGTGGACTCCTAAATATGACAGTTTACTGCCCAGAGGCTGGGGAGCAACCCTCTTCTATCTTTAAATGGGACAGAAGAAGAGGAAACTGGTTTGAATGGTGGGGGAAGATTTAGGTTAGATATAAAGAACAGCTTAAACTTTCTTAAGTCAACAGAAGAAGATTGTGGTATTTTCCTTGAAGGTCTTTGAAAAAGAGGGAAGAAACTAACCTTGACAGATAGCTTCAGCTGCTCCATTCAGGAAGGAGAAGGACAGGCGAATAGTCAGTGAGTCAGCTCAGTGACCATGCCTGAGGCCATACTTGAACAGGAAAATTGTTGTCCCTGTAAAAATAATAGCTACTATTTATTGAGTGCAAAGGACTTTTTATTTATTTCATCTAAATTCTATAATCCTTTAAGATAGATATTATTATCCCCATTTCAAAGATGAGGAAACTGAGACATAGTAGGTTAAATAACTTGCTCAACACCATACAAGCGGTAGGTGGTGGAGCAGAAACCGAAACCTCGATTTCCTCTAAACTCGAAGGCCATGCCCCTAATTGTTACATGGCACAGAATATTTTAGGGAGAGATCAAATGTCAATGTGGATGCTAGTGGGCAACCTTGGATCTGTGGAAAACATTTGACATCAAATTTTGCAGCTTCAGAAATGGGAAAAACAACTTATGGCACTAACCCAAATTCACTACCTTACTTGACTCGAGTCACAGTTTTCTACATAGCAAATGTATGTTGACTAACTCTGAAATCAACCTAAGTAATTGGTTTTAAGATATGGAGAAAAGCCCAGTACTAAACCCATACTTATTGAATGGTATTAGGATTTAAGACTATAATTTGCTTTTGCAAATGTATAGACATCACATTCCAAATATTTTGTTATGGTATCTTCCAGTGAGTTTATTTTTTCTTGCAAGGGAAGATTCAATAGCATCTAGTTCATGGCTTTTAAAAGAGTGTTGGACCTACTGGATAAATTAATGTGATAACTTTGGGTTTTATTATCTTTTGAAATATTTGCACTTCTAGGTATCAGAATCAGATAAGGTTGACTAAATGAAGTCTATATATAAACTGTTATTTATTCTTGGTGTTTTTATGTTTTGTTATTTATATTTCTATATTGGCTTTTTGTCTACTTCTTTAAGGTCAAGTTGAATTATCTAATTAAGCACTGTAGAGTTTTAATTGCATAGAGAATAATTGAATGAATGAACTAGAATAAAAGATTAAAGAAATAATAAAAACCTTGGGTGGTTTGATTAATCAAACCAAGTAAACCTCCATTCAAATGACTGAAAAAATAATCACCAAGTAAATATTTTAAATATTTTGTGCTATAAAAAGAATAAACTAATAATCAATATCTTACTTTTGAAAATATTAACAGTGGCCTTGGAAGGGATTTGGAGCATTAAAAGGAATCTCCCCGTGGGAGGCTTGAAGCCAGGACTGCAGAGCAGAAACACTTTACTGCCACAAGCCAAGTACTATTCGAGGCATGGAGGGCTGAGAAGTAAGACACGCCCCCACCACTACCACCCTGATTCCCCTGACTTCCACTAAAGCCCCTGAGAATGCTAAACAGTTTACAAAATAGTGATGTGTACTTTATTCAAAGTTCTCAATCGAGATTCAGTCTTCTTTTGACTTACTTCTCTCAGGTTACCTTGAGTTTAGCCACATTGCCTCATCATGGAACAGTAACAGTGCAGCTAACCAATTTACCCCCTGGATTCAATAGAAGTTCATACTCTGAATTATCCTCCTGACTCTCCTTTGCTTTTTATCCAGTAATACTTTTTAGCAAGGCAGTCAACTTCAACTGGGGAGGAGTCTTGCACTGCTCTTTCTTCCAGACGGGTGGTCTTTGTTTACTGGTGGAAATGGGGAGAGGGAGATGAGGGAATTAAGGAAGAATAAGGCAACTGCTTTGCTCAGCTCTCTTAGTTTCAGCCTATTTTACATAAGAGGCTACCAGGTTGGGCCCAGTGTACTGTTCCTCACAGACATAAAGTTTGGAAGAAAATATTACTCATTCCTCACTGTCACAGCTAGTGTCTGCCAGGAACATCTGTGACAGAATGTGGAAAAGGCAGAGGTCTTGAGGTGGAAACATGAGCAGTGTCCAGATAGTCTAGGGACATGAAATGGTGTATACAAATCATAAAAATAGCATTACATTTTGGAGGTTACCCCAGAGTGAGAAGAAAGAAGTGGATAAGTACCAAGGTATGACTCATAATATCGAATGTTATATAGCATTTATTATTCTAGGTTCTTCATATGTGATAATCTATTTATTCTTTACAACAATCAAACGAAACAGGTACAAATCATTTTACAGATGAGAAAATGGAGGCACAGAAAGAGTGAATAATTTACCAGAGTCACTCAGCTAGTAAGTAGAAGTGCTGAGATTTGAACCCAGGCAGCCAGTCTCCCCTGGCTTTTAACCGCGAGGCACTTCTGCCTCTATGAGATAAACAATGCCCAGGAGCTGGGTGTCTGTTGAACCCGGGGTAGAGTGGGAGCTCAGCAAAAGTGCCACAAAAGCGGAGGGTGCCCAGGGAGACAGCCTCTGGAATATGAATTCAGTTGGGAGAAAGTACAACCACTAAGAGACTGAGACACAAGGTAAACAAACAAACAAACAAAACCACTTGCTACCAAAGCAGTTTCATGTAGCAGAAAGGAACCAGTTTGGAAACCTGGGTTTAATAATAATAAAGTAATAGTAGCTACCATTTACCATGTGCTACATATGGCAGTAAGTGTCTCATATAGTTCTATCATCCATATGATCACATGAGATGAGATTTTTGATCTCCATTTTCTAGATGAGAAAACTGAGACGTAGAGACATAACGACCCAAGATCCTATGTCTAGGAGGTAGTGAGGTCAGAACTACAAATTTGTGTCCATCTGACTTCTGAGACTGTGCTCTTAACCTCTGGACCATCATAGCAGAGAATTCAGTCACTGGAAAACAAGGGTGGAACCTGTTGTGGGTGGTGGTTAAAACAGGCACAAATGCCAGGGCTCTAGGAATGCAGGGTTAGGAAACTGGGAGGGACTGCACTCAAAATCCACAAAGATATCAGTGTCCTAAAGTAATGGTTGATTCAACCTAAGTCTGGGCCACTTGCTCATTAGGAGCTATTTATTTCAACTTTCCACCCAACTTGTCAGGTCTCAATTATAGTGGGTAAATCCATCGTTCCAAGAAAACTCAAAAAGCAACTTAAAGATGAATAGTTTTCTAAATGCCATGTTATAAGATTGGTTTGAAAAACAAATTACCTTCATGTGAAGACATACAAGTCTAATAGATTACCCAATTCATCAATTGGGAACATATGATTTTTTTTTTAAATGTATTTCATTTTGACCATAATTGCATTACTTCCATCCATACAATTTAGGAGAAAACTTGTTCATGGCTCCTGCTCATTGTTACTTATCCATACTACCTTCCTAGCAACCCCCAGCCCACTATCTCCCACCCATGTCAAGCCCTTACAGTGATTATGTTACAGTATGTAACTTATTGTTATATATTTTAACTTCTTTTCTGTAAGTTGCCAGCTGCATTTTGCCATATGAAGTGCTATTACCTGCTATACAAATCACAACTAATCAAGCTATATGAATTAGACTGATAACCAAGGATTAGACATTTCTTATTATCAATGAAAAAAAGGTAGGTACAAGGCGCAGAAATGCCATAAATGAACAAACTCCACAGGTACTTTTCAAAAATTGATCAGCAGTAATTTATATATTATCAGAAGCTACTTGAAGGCAAGAACCATGTCTCTTTCACTCACCACTGTGTATCTGGAACTTAGCATGGAGCCTGGCAAGAGTAGATGCTCAATCACTCTGTCACAAGAATGACCAATGTATGGTGAACCAGGAAGTATATGTCGAATGCATACTATATTTTCAAAATCCTTTTGCTGCTAACTCACATATGTCTCCCCTCCAAAAAACTATATGATTTCCCACCACTTGAGACTGCTAAATTAAACAGAATACAAACAATACAGGAAAAAGCAAAGGAACCTATTGACTTGAGTATGTGAATCATGAAAAGTTGCACATGTCTTATATATACCTTGGAACTGACACCTTCGACAAGAGTCTTCTACGGATTACAATATTTCCAAAAACTTCTCCTGTAAAGTGTACTTCTTTTAGATAGTTCAGTCAATCCTCACTGTCATCATTTTTGTATTCATTTGTGCTTCTTTCCTCTTTCTAATGAACATGATCATTGCAGCTGTAACTTTTCTAACATTTAATGCACATCGTTTAAAATTAAAATTTAAAACCATGATCATCTAATTATAGTTTTAAAACACATTTCCAGTACAGACTGTAAACAGAAGTTTCACTCTCATCATATTAACAAGTTTTATTCATTTACTTTTATCAATGCCTTCTTATTCTGGGACATGTAACAACAAAAGCAATAAAAAGTTGTCTAGCCTAGTGCTTTTCAAGCTTTAATGTCCCTACAAGTCACATGGGGGATCTTATCACAATTCAGATTCTGACACAATAGGTCTGGGGTGGGGTCTGAGATTCTGCATTTCTAATGAGCTCCCAGGTGATGCCAATGCAGCGTGTTCGGATGCTATATTCTGAATAACGAGGGTCTAGAAGACTGAGGAGTGGATTCTTGGGTCCTTGGGTCACATGGATGTGTGGCTTTTCCTTTCTGCTCTACCAGTTGAAATACTGTTGGAAACATTAAATAAAATTTAGATTAAAATGGGGTTGGGGTTAAAAAGTATTTCTCTAGAATGAAAACTTAACTTGTTCGCATATTTCTTTACTCTAGGATAAGAAGAATAAATTTTTTTCCATGGAGAAGAAACCTCTTCCTCTTGATGTCTGAAAAATAGAGAAGAAATCTAAGCTTGTTTCATATAAGGTGTGTTTTAAAAACATGTCTGTTGGTCTACAAATTCTATTACTAGTGTTAATTCCTATCTATAAATTAATCCAAAGTAATGACAGACCATTGGTAAAGTTTAATAAATACCTAAAAACAAGGAAGAAAAATATTATACTTTTTAGTTGTCACCATTGGAATACATTGGGCTTCTAATTCAGAAGATTTTATTAAATATGTAAAACATGGTAAAACAAAGGCATGTTTATTGAGTTTTCACTTCAAAGTAAACAGTATAAACCTTAATCTTTCACTAGGGTATCAATATATTCATTTATTAAAAAAGAAAAGAAATAAATCCAGGTATCGGTATGGGTTAGTCAGTGAATGACATAGATGAAAAGTCACTGAGTCAGAGACAACCATTTTAATGCTAACCTTGGTAGAGCTCATCATTTTTCTAGAATTTGTCCACTAAATAGTAAGCAGCCAGAAAATTTATGAAGACAACTAAAAAAAAAGAATTTTACTAGTACTACTGGCTTAAAAACAAGTTAGAAAAAGAGATTAGAAGAAGGGGAAAAAGATCAACTTTCTCCCCTGCCCAAGTTGCCAAAAGTAATATACGTGCAGTAGAAACATTGCAAAATAAAGAAAAGTAAAGGGAAAAACTCATCTGTAACTCAATTCCCAAAAACAACCACTGATAACATTGATATATTTTTATCCTTTTTTCCTATATACATTTTACTTTACATGTTTGAAATCACATTGTATAGTATCTGCATTTGTTATGCCTTTTAACATGACATCATAGAATTTCCCATTCATTAAAATATAACTTTAAATAATTACATTAAAAAATCTTGATATGTTTGTGCTAAATTTTTGCATTTATTACTCTATTTTGGGGGAATTTAAGTCTTTTAGATTTTTCACTTTATATAACTGTTGTGATTTACTCCTCCCACCTCTGAAAAATGTTATTTTTCCTAGTATTCTGGTTACATCTCTTTTATCCTTCTTCTCTAGGCTAAGATCTTCTCAAAACTTTCTCTGGTTTATGGTACTCAAGTTCATTTCTCAGTTTGAATATAATAAATCAAGTAAGGTAAACAAAGATTTTTTTGACTAGGTGTGTCCCTTCCCTACTTAAAAATATTTACACTGTGAAACAGTCAATCATCTCTTAAGTTAAGATCCAAACTTTTCCAGATGTAATATAAAAATTTCCATTTAGTTAGTACACACTAGAAGAGATCCTACATGTAAGCCAATTTCAGCCACCACCGTGTTTATGAAACTCTCATCACTGGCTACTTCAGTAAGTGTTTCAGGCCAATGGCTGAAATTGGAGTGATTACATGTTAAGCTAGTCAAGAAATATAACACTTAAAACTACCTGGAGTTGGGGTAAAGCATTACTATCCTTACAAACCTAAAATTTTAACCTAAAAATTCTTTTCGCATGTATGTTAGGATGACAAGGGAAAAGTGCAGTAGATGGGGAGTATTGATTTTTATTCATCCATTAGAAATGGTATCCTGTTTGCATTTGAGCTCCCAGTGTGGCTTTATAAACAAGCTCAGAAATTTCCTCCCTCACTTCCACTTTACTCCTGCCCAGTAAACAAGCTTCCCCTCCCCTCCCCAGCTCCTGTTTATCTCAGCCTTGCTGCCTGGGCTGGGTGCTTCATGTTGCCTCTCTCTGCCTGACCAGCACTAATGCCATGAAAGACAGATTTCATGGTACTGTTTCCTTGCTAGGGTACTAGGGTATCTGTCCTTATTCTATTTAGGGGCCCTGGTTCCTTTTGCACATCTTCCTAACTGGATTCACGTACAGGGTTTTGATGCCAGGATTATTTATGATAATGAATAAGGGAAACCATCTAAACACCAAGTGTGGAGGATGATTTAAAAAATTACTATATAATGTGATGCACCTGTTTTTTGTTTTTTGTTTTTCAATTGATAAGCATTTTTTAAATAACTCTTTGAAAGCCAGGATTACAAGGACACTTCTTGAAAAAAATAAAGATCTATAGCAATCTTAAACCAATAGCCATTTTCATATTTGATGAAATGACTGATAGATGCCTTCCTTCTGAGGTTAGGCATAAAACAAAAGTGCTTTTATTTTCCTAAAGATGTTTGCAACTTGCTCACTTTCTTTCTTCATTTTATATCCTCCTGGCCCCAGAATCCTTAAATTTCTTTTGTTTATGCCACAGATAGTCACTGCAGCATACTGGATAACTTGGTGTCATAGGGCTTGCACTCTGCTTCCTAATTTGGCCAAATAGCCATGGCAAAAGTATCTGTGAGCCACACAGATGAAAAGATTAGAAATATAAAACAAAAACCTATAATGATTGGGAAGACTATTTAGCCTCATGAGACGGAACACAATTTTTCTGAAAAGACAACTTTTTAGTTTTACTTTTAAAGAAATCTATTTCTTGGTTTATCTTACTACCATATCCTTTGTCTTACAACTAAAATATTTATAGATAGAAATCATGTAATGAGGAGGTTTTTTTAATAAAAATACTATCACATTACACATATTTTATAGCCTGAATTTTTTTCACTTAGTCATACATTATGACCATTTTCTATGTATATTATATGTTGGTCTAAAACATGATTTTATAGGCTATACAGTATGTCCTGGTATGACAGTACCACAGTTTTCTTAACCTGTACCTATTGATGGCCATTCATTTTGCATTCAATTTTTCTAAACTTGGCATTTAAAGAAATATTTCTACCTCCTCCTGCCCACACTAATATAGGAAACTCCTTAGATTTTCCTTCTAGCCCAGATGACTCTCTCTCATCCTGATAAAAATCTGCATGTTTATACTCTAGAAGGAATAAATCAGGAGGATTTTGGATGAAAATATGGTGATCGAGTTGGGAGTCAAAGCTGTCCATTTCAAGAGCCCCAATC